AAGACTGACTTCTGATAGTCAGATCAAAAGAGAACGATAAAGAATAATCAGACGTGAAAAGCAGCAGCATGCAGCGTCTAGCCTGGGGTGTTGGATATTCGGCGCTTATTTTAGGATATAATATATGTGGCAGCGTGTCATTTTTCTCAGAATAATTAAGTCTCGGTCAGTCCGCATGTCTGAGAACTGAATGATTTTCCGTCCTTTCCGGAATACAGGAGCTCCTGGGCCATGCAGTCGACACCGACGGGGGCGAGGGGGATGCGGATGAGGAGGCAGAAGCAGCTGCTGATCCGGCTGATGAGCTTTGCGAGAATGTCTGGGCCGCCGTGACGGGAGCACTGGAGTGCGACGATGCTCGAGCGGCTGCAATTCTGGAAAAGTCGGTTGCGCTGCGAGGTCCAGACAGCAAGTACTTCGACCTCTTGTGCTGCGACGAGGTCCAAGATGCCTTCAAGGACGACGACTACAAGGACATGGCGAAGTTTCTCGAGACAGTCGAGAGTCGCCAGAAGGCTGAGCGGTCAAAGTGGCAAAGTTTCCGGTGGTTCACGAGCTAGGGGTTTATTCACAGTGACAGGGTTGTTCAGAGACTGGACCCTGCAAGCAAAGTAATACTAATAAAGACTAACAATTATAATTGCCATTCCTTTTAAATTAAACTATAGTTAGAGCTTCTTGTGTTTAGGTCGAAGCTCCCAGGTGCGTAGCAGTTCAGTGGAAAGACATGAGCCCACAACCCTGCCAACCCTTGGACTCAGGGTGAAGATAGCAGGGCAATGACCTGAAAAGTTTGGTGGTTGCCATGTCCCCAGTTAGCGACAAATAGTATCATTTGTGTGCTGACTGATTTCATTTTAAATTCGGGGCTGCTTTCCGTCTGCTGCTATTTACGGCGTCCCCAAGCAAATCTGGGTTCCAGCGCCTTTCATTGAGTGGCAGGCCCGAGCAGAAATTGAAATAGTCCTACAGTACTCCTACTAGACTTGCACTGGCTTGTGGCGTTTGAAGAATACTACGATTACTCCTGGAACTCCTGAACGTACTACTACTACTGCTGCTACTACTCCTGCTGCTGCTGATGCTACTTACTGCTACTTGACCTACTACGACAACAACAGACAACAACAAGGACAACAACAACAAACTACTACGACGACTACTACTACTACTACTACTATCACTACTACTACCACTACTACTACTACCACTACTACGACTACGACTACGACTACTACTACTGCTACGGCTACTACTGCTACTACTGCTCCTACTGCTACTGCTGCTACTGCTAGTACTGCTACTAGTGCTACTACTGCTACTACTGCTGCTACTGCTACTGGTACTGCTAATACTACTACTACTACTACTACTACTACCACTGCTGCTGCTGCTGCTACTACTACTACTACTACTACTGTTGCTACTACTACTACTACGACTGCCTATTACTACTACTACTACTACTACTACTACTACTACTACTACTACTACTACTACTAATACTAATACTAATACTAATACTAATAATAACTACGACGACGACGACGGAGGACTAGTGCTACTGCTACTGCTACTGCTACTACCACTCACTCTTTGGTCTTCGGATTTCAGCTCTTGGGGGTTTTGGGGTGACGGTTACTTAATGAATAGGTTCGCTTCGTTTTGAAAAGCGACTGCACCTGCCCTTCGCGCAAATTCTTCTAAGTTTCGTACATGAGGCCTTGAAGGCGCCTATATCCTAATGCACTTCTGAGCCCAAGGCCGTGCTATCAGCAACCAAGCAAGAAATTGATCCTGGCACACTATTTGCTTAAGCCAGCGACGCAGGTCCTCGACTCGCTCAAATCGGCGATCTTGGCGACCAGATCCAAGTTGAAGCCGGCCCCATCCAAGAAGCCTCGCAAGGCGGTGAACATTGCCGTTCATCAGGAGTGGACCGAAGAACAGGCCAAGGTGCTCTTGCCACCACATGCTTCGATCCGCCGCGACAAGTTCAATGGCCGGTGGCAGGTCTTTTACGGGACTGGACCAGCGGTTGAGCGCTGGTCCAAATCCCGCTCCTGGGGCATCGCAGGTGGGACCTGGGACGGAAAAAGGGTACATTGCAAACATAGACTTCAGTACTACTTTCAGGAATAGATCAGTTACTTCATCGTGCTTTCTCAACCAGAACAGGACTCGGAGTGGATTCGCAATTCTGGGCATTGATACTGAGACTAAATGACCCCAGGCAGCGACGATGCGGCTCTTCGCTACGTCCTGAAGCATGTCTGGGGCCTGCACCGTGATCTCACTGGCGAGGAGTGCTGGGTTCGAGACTTGTGACAAGTCGCTCAAACTGGCGAGTCGACACCTGCCCGTCCCAGCCGCGAGTCGCCCAAGCAGAGCTGTAGTCGTCTGGGCCCCCCAAAAGAGACAACAACTAGGACACTAATTCCCTCCTAAGTGAGCCGAAGAGTAGTAGGGATATGCTTCCTCGCAAGATGCTTTTGCTTCTGCTCTTTTGGGACCCCTGCTGCCTATTGTGAACCCGCCAGTCAGTCGCCCGGGAGGAAAAAGCCGGCACATTGAAACTGACTACTGACATGAGTGACAGAGCTAGTCGCCAGATGCATGCCGGCACTCGCTTACATATTGATTGCTTGCTAGATGTCTTCCGATTGCAGCATGGCACGTTCACTTTGCGCCAGGCCTCGCAGACATTCATCCGGAGTGGCAGCAGACGAGCAGCCAGCAGCAGCCGTGGGAGTCGGGATGTGTCTTGGGGGCGGGGAGGGTGGGAGTCGTGCGTTTCAGTGTCTTCCTCTGCTTGCTTGCTGCTGGTGCGGTCCTTACACCTCTCTTGCCGTTTGTCCGGAAATAATAAAGAGTCAATGTTTTGGAGTAGTCGTCCTACAGGACGTCGTCCGTAAGGACGCGACCGGCATGGGGTCGAAGTCTGTATTATGCAGTCGTCCGACAGGACGTCGTCCGTAAGGACGAGCGACAGGTCGAATGATATTTATCGTGTACTTTATACTCTCTAGCCGCTGTTATTTCTTTTTGCTATTGCCTTCGTCCTGGCTTTTGGAGGTACTCCTTTTATTTACTCCTACCTGTGCACCCCGTCTGTCAATGCGGGCTCTAATAGTCTAAGGAAGCTTCAAGAAAAATAAAGACACTTTATTATGCCGTGAACTATCACACCCCCAATTTCTCCTTGAAGCCCGTGTCGCCTTCTACCCAAATCTCAAAAGCTTAAGCTAACCCCTGAGCCCTCAATCCCTTCAAGAGGAAGAGGGACCCCACAACCATATTCCAGGGGTCAAAGAGCCCAGAAAAACAAGCCAAGCGGCAGCACGACCTGAAACGTAGCATGTGCTGCTGTCTTATTATTTTATTGAGCGTGTACTATGGATCCTACTACCATGTAAACCCAATATAGCACCAAAATGCAGGCTCTGTAATCCTGCGACAGAAGTAAGTAACATGTAAGCCGTCAGCCTGTACTGTACCCAGTACTCAAAAACCTGAGTGAGATAAACCCTCAACTCACATGGTCTGTGGTTGGGTCATGGATGCTCTGTGCAGATCAAAACACGTACTGGACATGGGAATTCCTCCTATTTGAGCCTGGGATGCTCCGTGTCAGACCTGTCATCATGCTGGGGCAGACAGAATGATGGTGATCTGCTCTTCTTAGGACAAACAGTCTAGACCAGGGTCATCACGACATGGATGTTCTGTTCAAGAAAGTTGCATCCACTGGATGCTTCGTTCTCACAACGAATTAACTAGGCCCTGGGCCCAGCCAATGGACGTAAGCCCGCTTGAGCATGAAAATTCCTGGATGCTCTCTCTCAGAAGAAGAGAATGGACCCCTGGATGCTTTGTCTCCAAATACGTCTATAGACTTTGAACTTCATTGGCCAACGGATGCTCTGCTGTCAAAACGGGTGAGACCTTGGACATATCCAACACTGAGCCCTGGACAGAAATGAAGTTCATTCTAGCTGGGCCACGGATGCTCTGTTCTCTGATTAATAGACCACGGACATGTTATCATGGTTGGGCCAGGAAGCTCTGTTCTCTGAGCCGGATTTGACTTTGGACGTCATCTCGGCTGGGCCATGGATGCTCTGTTCCAGCAGTTGATTAGACCATAAACTTGGGTCTTGGATGCTCTGTTCGCAATTAAGATTTGACTTTGAAGATCACCATGGTCTGGCCATTGGATGCTATGTGCCGAACGCATCACCATGATTGGGCCATGGATGTTGTGTTGTCAGAACGGGTTAGGCCATGGACGTGATCGTGGTTGGGACATGGATGCTGTGTTCTCAAAAGAGATGAGACCGTGAACGTCATCGTGCTGGCGCTTTGGGTGCTCTGTTTCAGAGATAAGTATATTAGATGATGGACATTATCACATTTGAGCCATGCTCTCAGACAGACAGAACGCATTAGTAAGTACACAGGCATGGCGGCATGGACATCGGTGATCATGGTTGGGATGTTCCGTGATGAGAAAAGATTGGACCATGGACTCGTGGAAATCATCATGCTTGGGCCATCATTGCTGTGATTTTATCACAACGTTGAGCCTGCTGAGACATGGAATGGCCCAATGGCTTCCTCAGAACCTCTCAGCTTGCGTTCCATTAATCACGTTGTGGCTGCAACAAAAAAGCGTAGTTCTCGTGCTATTTTTTACCACTGACTGCTACAATAACACAGTTGTAAGCAACGATTCTTTGCACGTTGGCCAGACTTTTGTTGGTACTCATATACAACATCACCACATGTTCACCCAGAAACAAGCAGCGATTCAGAACTACTTCGCCGAACCCCCTTTCGAAGCACTTATCCTGGCATAGGATATTCAGGGGGCGCCTAGGCAACCCCCCCACTGTGTTGGCACCCCATGAAACTCGCGAACCCAAACTCGCCACCCGCAAAAAATCCATGTAAGACTCTCGTGGTATGAAAACCCACCTTAAAGTGCCGCAACTTCTGAGGCCCTCGGGTGTCCGAGGCGTCGGCTTTCAAGGCCAAAGCTCCGCAGTTTTCTCTCTTTCAAGGTCTTTGAGGGGAGGGAGGCTCAGGGGGTTTAGGGGTTTCGGGTTTAGGGTTCTATAAGGAGTTTGTAGGGTTTCAGAACACGGTGGTTGTAGGGTTCGTCTTTTTTGTAAGGTTTAATGAGTTAATGTAGGAACCTGATTAAGAAACCCGGGGTCTTTGATAGCTTGGTTTTTTACTTCATGGATCCTACTATCTTGGGTTTATAGGGCAGGATTTCTTGATTAGGTTCTTACATTAGGGCTTTGAAGGGCTAGCATTGGTTCAAGGGCCTGCGTCAGTAGGTTCCAAGTATGCTATCCGGAGAGTCGAAAGTACCCCACTCGGCTACCTGCTCGTGAAACCCTGCTTAGAGTCGGGGTTCTGTGAAGTCAGACAATGTCTATTCATTAGAAGCTGCCCCCACCCTGTAATACTGACTATAAGGATTATATTGGGGCCCTATTAGATTCCGATTATACCACTATTACAGGGTGGGGGCCCCTTCTAGTCTATTCACAGATGCGGTCGGTCGTCTGTCTGTCTCTAGCACATTTGCATGTCGGGCTTGGGCTGCTCTTCGAATAAAATGCAACATCAACATGGGTGGTTATCAATATTAGGGTCCCTTTATGGGTCTTTATTATCATACGGCACCTGATATTTAGGGTACGCAAACAGGTTCCATAATTTTGACAACCAGCCACATGTTTCGAGAGACATTGAGCACTGCCGCAGTCCATCTTTGCCAGCTTCTACCGCAAACCGTCCCCCAAGCTGCTTGTTTGATATACGTACTTCAGCAAGTGCGGCGTTAACAACTCCAAACCCTCACCCCACACCGAGCTGTGCGACATAAATCGAACTCAGCTCCAACTTTCAGGCCGGTTTAGCAATCGGAAGCAGCAGACGCTTGTCCTCGATGAAGACCATCCGGAGGCAGGCAGAGGGCCCTGGAGTCCGGCATCGCGAACTCTTAGACAATTCGTGTTGAGGGTCTAGGGTTTAGAGGGGATGGGGTTTTGGTTTTGAGCTGTAGGGACTAGAGTCGTGGCAAAGTCCACACCGTAGATCCACAGGCAGACAGACAAACAAGCAGACAGAGAGAGGGAGCCAGAGAGAGATAGGTAGATAGGTAGGTAGTTAGTTTGATAGTTCGATAGATAGGCAGATAGATAGGCCGTCAGATAGATAGATAGATCGGCAATTATGAATGAACACAGTTTTATTCATGAATGTGTTTGGTTATGTCGTTGTTTCATTCTTTCAGTCATGCATGCTTAAATCATCCATTCATCCCTTCCTTGGTTCATTCATTGAAGACTTCGCTATGCTCTTACAGGTCATGTATGCGAATGCTTTGTTTCAGCAGCAATGCCCACCTCCCATTGTAAAAGACTTCTCGCATTGGGTGTCATGGCTGACAGCATATGGGGGGTTTCCGAAACTACGGGACCCTAACAAATAGTATTGGTACGTAGGACCCGTATTGTAAGGATCCTCACAGTGATAGGGTACCACATTTAATTTTCGGAAACTCTTAACCCTTCTAGAGCCCTTTAAAGGAACGTGCTACCCTCATAGTAACCCCAAAAGGAGCCCCCTGCGCTTAACCCAAGTACCCCTAAACCCCCAACAATCTACTCCTCTGGAGGCTGCTGTTGGGCCGATCCACGCAAACAACGGCCTGCGGCCCCCGAGACTTGGAGATCTAGGGGGGTTTGGGGATTTGGGTTTAGCTTTGAGTGTTTGGTTTAGGTGTTTGGCTGTAGGTTATTTTCACCATAAGGTTGCTATAAGGGCTGACTACGGTACTTTGAGGTGGACTTGGCTTGCTTTGGGCGTGTTTTCGCGGCTCAGGGCTCGGCCATCAAAAGTTGAAGAAGCACTGCGAGGGTGTGTGGAAGGAATGCTTGGCTCTTTGGTGTTGGGCCGGAGCTCGTAAGAGTTTCTCTCGACCTAGGGGTGGTGATTGCTTCCGCGACTTAGAGCATTTCGGAGAGTTTGTGTTCTGTTTTGGTACAGCCCAACCGCTTCGATCAACTTTGTTGGGTTCGCCTGCCCGGACCGAAGTTCGGGAGCAGTCATGAAAGGTCTAAAGTGCGAGTTGCTCGCTATGGCATGTTTGAAGTTGAATTAAGCCGTTCTTTCTGTGGTGAGCAAGAAGGGAAGCGCAAAAAAAATCAATTGCAGCACAAGTTAAGGCATCCTGCGCGGTATACAGCTCGAGAAGGATCACAAGGGGATACGCTTAACACTATCGCACACATTGATGAATCCCCCAGGCCCCAAACTCTCTGCGCCAAGGATTACACCTCCTGCGCAGCCCGGAAAGTCCTGGGATTTAAACGTGGAGGCCGACAAACCGTGTGTGATGACGGGTTTGGGATTTATGGTCAACCCTCAAAAAATGTCCTCCTGGAAGCCGATTAAGGTAAACCTTGTCAGGGCAGAGGGTGGTGGTCTTGGGGTTCAAAATCGAAGCATGATGTGTTTCATGTTCGTAGCAACGAGCGATCACGGGACGATGTCGGGATGCTTAGATATGCATCCAGTGGACCCAAAATGACAAGCCGTACCAGTCTCGCTTAAGGCATCTTGAGACTTGGAGCTGCGATGTTAGAATTGCCAACATTCTCAACCCCTTAGCATGCCATACGCACGGCCAGAAGTCTGAGCGTGTAATGTTTGTGTCGTGGGTCGCTTTGCGTCTTCGCACTCGGTGCTACCAGAGTGCTGTGCGAAGACGGGTAGACGAGCTCTTGTGGAAATCGCGACAGAGTGATTGGTGGTGGTAGTGGTCGTGGCAGTAGCAGTCGCAGTCGCGGTCACGGTCGCCCTGGCAGAAGCAGCAGCAGTAGCAGTAGTAGCAGCAGTAATAGTAGTTGCCGTCGTCGTTGCAGTAGCAGCATGCAGCAGCAATAGCTCCACAGTTCCAGCAATATGAACAGCGACAGTTGTACCAGCAGTAGCAGTAATTATCAACAACAGGCATACCCAGAGGCTCCATACTAGTTCCTGTTTAGGGTTCATATGTAGAATTTCCTACAAGGTAATCCCAAAAAGGAACTACTATGGAGCCTATGGGTAGTTCATGGTCAGCAGCCAAGAAGATGTTGAAGCGTTGTTTTATCACTAGGAACCAGAGTAGGCCCTTATTCCCTTTTTAAGGGTTTAGGTTCCCTTATAACCCCCTTTAAACCAAAAAGGGCACCCTTTTTCTTCCTAGGTTACTCTTGGGTCTAGATCACTTGTCAAGAGAAATCTTTCGATCAACACCGGCTCGCACCCTCAAGTCCAGCGATGGATGGTTTGGAAGTTTAGGGGTTCCGGAAAGGCCCCGGCCTTAAATAACATTATGTAGCAGACAGTACATAGAAAATATCATATAATACAGTTACCATGTGTCTATATATAGATATACATATATATATATATATATAGATATACATATGTGTATATATATATATATATAGATATCGTTTCAAGAAGATGCAGTTTCGCGACCTTCTAAGACAGCTCAATGAGAGGGGGGCAGTTTTGCAGACCCTGCACACCAAAGCCGAAGTAACAGAATCCCCGCCTAAGCCCGAAGCCCTGAACCTTCCAGACTTCAGCGGAAGTACCCGGATCCCCAACTTCAAAATGAAATCTCTACCTTCGCAGCAGGATTCGCAACTTTAGAGCACAGCACATGAAACTTTGCAAAGTTCCCCAAGAAGGTCTTGTTGGGGGTTTAGGGCTAACAGGTAGCACTATGACTGTATGTTCGCTCAGCGCATCACAGCCGGTTTAGTTTGCTTTGTCGCCCGCGGCCCTGTTCCCAGTTCGACGTTGTGTGTGTTGGACCCCTACCAGTTACTAGTATGCTGCGGCCCGACTAGCCTGAGCTCGAAGTTTCATACATTGGTGTGAACCTTACCAATCAGGTTATCTCCGCATTAGTAGCTAGACACATGCTACATTGTATATGTTTGTGCATCCTGACGTGGTACGACCCCATAGAAAACAGAACCAAACCCTGGAACCCCAAAATCCCGAACGCGAAACCGAGCCGCTTAGGGAAGTTTGGTTGTTGGTTCCTGCTGCGGTGGAAACTCACCCCCTAGAGTGATAGCACATTGGTTTCTACCATCCTACAACCCTAAGCCCTAAACCGCTGCTTAAACCCTACACACCGGAACAGCAGTAGTTAGTATGGCAGGTGCACGAGCCCAAGACGGATCCAGGCAGGCGCAGCAAAGCTTCTCAGCTGAGCGACAAGACGTGGGGGCATTTGAGATTTAGATTTCAGGGTTTCGCGAACGTTCAGAAAATTCCGGGCTCCATTTTTGGGGATCCGTCCCATGAGGATCTCCTTAGGGATTGATTGGAGCCTCTTCTTTGAAACTTCCGTCAGTCTGATCAAATTATAATTTGTCACCGTCAGCAGCAGTAGTAGCAGCGGCAACAGAAGTAGCATAGCAGCAATAGTGCAGATCTGCTCAGCAGGAGAAGCAGTTCTAGTAGCAGCACCAGATGCAGCTGCGATAGCAGCAGCAGCAGCAGCAGCAGCAGCAGCAGCAGCAGCAGCAGCAGAGTAGCAGTGTTGCCTGCAAGCTGCTTACAGCACCGTGGCGTGACCTCAAGAAAAACTGATCAGGCTCCCTACTGCTGAACCCTACGGTTGATGATATAAATCCCGCATTACTTTAATGACCCTAAACTATGGGAATTATGGTATACTCCCAATTATGAGTAATGCAGGATTTATATCATCAACCCGATTATGGGAGCCTGAATGATTACCAACAGTATTCCCACGGGCTCCTTAAAGTAGTTATCCTAGAAATTCCTAAGTATATGCCGCCAAAACCCTATTCAATTTGGAATGCCCTACTTTAATCATGACGGCCCTACTCTCATCATGAAGGCCCTATCCTAATCAGGAAGGTCCCTACTTCCCCTAGCCTTCAAGTCCCAAGGCTGGGGGCAAGTCCTGGTGGCCGCAGGGGCTCTCAGTAAGTGTTTGACGGGATATGTATATATATATATATATAGATAGATATATACATATACACGTATGTATGTATTTATGGGGGAGAGTGTGAAAATAACACGTCCCCACTATCTCCCAGACCTACGACTTTGCCAACCTTCGTTGGCTCAAGACCACTTTGCCCTATCGGAAAAGGCGCTGCTGAACTTCAGGGCTACTTTGGTCTCAGTCGTGTGAGCTTGTGCACGGAATTACTTTAGGGTAGTTTGATGCGCATTCTGGACTAGTGTACTTTCGCATGGTAGCGGAGCTGAAAGCTCCACGGAACTTTGGTAGAACAACATGGCACTAGGAGGTGAGGACAACTTTACAGGAAAGCTTCGGCTTCCTCTGCCAGAGACTTTCTCTGGGAACCCAGCAGACTGGGAAGAATGGTCATGGAACTTTAAAGCGTACATTTCGATGTTCGAGGTAGGTGCTGTGACTTTGATGGACAATGCCGAAATGCGAACGGCAGCGCAAGGTGACTTTACAGATGCTGATCTAACAGTCACTTTGGACACAGGTGATGCAGATCCGGAACAGACCGCCAACCGAGTACTTTTCTCCCGAAAACTACATTACCTGATTTCTCAACTTGTGAAAGATTCGGCGAAACTTGTTGTTCGTCAGAACGAGGACAGCAACGGCTTTGAGACATGGAGAAGACTTTACAAGAAGTTCTCGCTGCCAGGAGCCACGCGAAGCACGTCACTTTTGACGCAGCTGTTGGACTTTAAGTTCAACCCAGCCACCTTTGAACAGGACTTTAATGTTTGGGAAACAATCAAGAGTAGGTACGAACGACAAGCAGGACAACCTTTGCCTGATGGTGTTCTTGTTGCAACTTTGCTGAACAAGACTTCTGGAGCTTTACAACAACACCTTAGGTTGAATGCCCAAACTTTGGCTACCTATGCTCAGGTTCGAGAAGTTATCCTTGAGTACCATAGATCACGACTTTTGATGAACCCAGTTGCACAAACTTCGGCGAATGCAACTTTTGCTGGTGGAGCTTCGGCTCCCATGGACATTGGTGCCTTAGCGGCAGCTTTGTGGAAAGGAAAAGGAAAGAAAGGGAAAGGAAAGAAAGGAAAAGGAAAAGGAAAAGGAAAGGACTTTTCGAAGTCGTTTGGAAAAGGAGGACAACATTGGAACTTTATGATGAAAGGAAAAGGAAGAGGAAAAGGAAAAGGAAAGGCCACTTCTAGCTCTACTTCGGTTTGCTGGACGTGTGGTAAAACAGGTCACTTTTCGAGCAACTGTCCTAACTACCGTGTTTCAGCTGTTGAAGGTGAAGAACTTTACCCGTCGGAGGATACAGGAGATTGGTCTCACTTTGGTGAGGACGATTGGTCTGATTGGACCGATTGGGCGATCAACGCGGTGACGGAACTTTACAACGACCCTAGCAGTTGGGATCAGACTTGGGATGATCAACTTTGGTCTTGGGATGCTTGGTCCTGGGATGTTGACCCTTGGGGTTGGTCTTCGGACTTTACTTCAGAAGTTTGGCCTTCAGAGGCTGCTCCTTCGGCGAAGGCCGAAACTTTGGCGAAGCCCAAGGAAGAGGCTTCCTCGTCAAGCGGCGCGGCAACTTTGCCCGTGTCGGCTGTGACTTTGCAAGGACCACCTGGACTTTCAACCCCCAAAGCCAAGCCTAAGGCTAAAGCAAGCATCAGCCCGAGCACTTTGCTCATGTCGGCTGTTGTTCTCGGCAACTTTGGTTTGGGGAACACTTTCAGAGTTGATGGGATGACGAACGGAGTTGTAGACTTCAGCTTTGGTGGTTTCGGAGAGTGTGAGAACTTTGAGCCTACGGCCTGTATGGCACCGCTTGAGACTTTCTCCTTGAATGGTCGCACGGATGAGAACCAAGGACTTTTGAGTGTTGGGGATCTTGGTCTTCAGAATTTGAATACGACTTTCAAGGATGTCGCTTTGGAGGAGCATTTGATTGCTTCGACTTTGGAGGACACTGAGCCGTGGATCCTCTTTGATTCAGGTGCTGCAACTCACTGTTGCCCGAAGGACTTTGCTTCAGAGTGGCAACTTCTGCCACTTACAGGTAAGGCTCCACCTTTGAGGAGCATTTCAGGTCAGCCTTTGACGGTCTTTGGAAGGAGACTTGTGAAGGTTGACTTTGAGGGCCAGCCCTGTTTCTTACACTTCTACGTTTGCGACGTTCCCTACTGTGTGGTGTCCGTTGGCAGACTTTTGAGGTCAGGCTTTGACGTGAACCTTTCTTCTAAGAAGGCGGACACTTTGGAAACACCGGATGGACACAAGGTGCCCATCACTAGGCATGGTTCACTTCTTTTCTTGAGGCCCACTTTGGCACCTTTCAACCGGGAAGAGTTTGAGGTTGTGTGTAACACTTTTCACACACAGAGCGCCCAAGGTACCATACTAATAGTGGCCCCAGTTTTTAAGCCTGTCGTCCAGTATCACATTGATAAATGGGAGCTCTCGGGTAATACTTTGACCCGCATACACAAAAGAGCGAGAGCTACTTTCTTTTCTCCCGAAGGGACGAAAGATCGCCCTGTAGAACTGAAGGACCTTTCAGACGAACGCGTAACCTACTTTGAGTACGCAGATGGCAGAAAAGAGACTTTCACCGACAACTGGCGTAAGGTAGCTAACCCAAAGGGCCCAGCTTCTGAACGTTTTGTTGGCAAGACTGTTTTTAAACTTTCCTCCAAGCCCACTGGCCGCAAGCTGGTTGGAAAACAGACAACTTTACCTGAACCCACACCTGCACGCAAACCACAACCACTTGAACAGCAGCAGGAACCTTTAGCAGAGGCCCCACAACCACTTTTCAAGCAACCCACTAAAGGCCTCAAGGAGCAAAGCACCGAGGACACTTTCCGTCTGCGCCTTGAGCAGACCTCTTCAGGAACGCTGGAAGACTTTCGGAAGGCTTTGCTTGAGCAGCTTTTAGAGAAGGACCCGGCAACCGGCCAGCCGTACACGCACGACTTGTGGCTTGACTTTCCGTCTTGCTGGGTGCGTGTCCACTACGAACAGCGGACCACACTTTTTGTGCCTGAGGATCCGCACTTTGAAGAGCAGCTTGGCGACGGTCGCATGACTTTGGTTGTGAGGCCAGACACGGGGGCAGTGCCCTTTTGGCACGCTGACCATTGGCGCAAGCGCGGCGCCAATGGTTTTAATAAGCTCTCCTTTTGTCGGAGCCACTTGCTTTGAGAAGGCAGACTTGCAACTTGTTGAGTGCGAGCCGGAAGCTCCGGACTACGTTGCGCATCGCCCTCGCGGGCTCAAGCAGCCAGGCGAACCAACTTTGACGGAGCGGCTTGAACACGAGTTGACACACTTGCCTTTTAAGCCTTGGTGTGAAGTTTGCGTGCGTGCCAAGAGCAAGCAGGCAAAGAGTCGCAGACTTTCCCTGAAGCAGCCTGTGCTGCAGATGGACTTTAGTTTTCTTGGCGACAAGCCTGGTGAGGAACAGATCACGATTTTGAACGTTGTCGATGTTCTTTCGGGCATGGCACTTTCTGTTGTGATTCCCACCAAGGCCCGCACACCTTACTCGCAGGCTGAACTTCGTCGCTTTGTGCTTGAAACGGGGAGAACTTTCGGTGTGTTGCAAGCGGACCCCGAACCCGCCCTCCTCGCTATTGCAACTTCTGTCACTGGTGAGGTTGGTGGACTTTCCTTTCGGAAGACGCCCGTCGGTTGGAAGCAAGCGCAAGGCAGCGTGGGTAACATGCAAGCCACTTTGTACGGACAGATCAAGGCTTTGCGCCTTGAGATCCTTGAGCGCTACGACGTTGACCTTTCGGTGCACTCAGCTTTGTTTACTTGGCTGGTTCGTCACGCACAGTGGCTTGTGAACCGTTACCTTTGCAACACGGAAGGAACGACGGCTTTTGAGCGGCGCTGGCGTAAGAAGTATGCCGGCTTTATCTGTCGCTTTGGCGAGACAGTACTTTTCCGCAAGCCGCATCCGCAGAAGGGTCGTGCAGCTTTTGTGCCTGGTGTTTGGCTTGGCAAGGACACTGAGTCTGATCAGCACTTTGTTGCTGACGCCACTGGAGTCTTCAAGACCCGCAGTGTCAAGCGCCACCCGCCCTCCCGGCAAGCCGACCTTGCACTTTTGCAGTCGATCTCTGCGCGCCCTTGGGACCCCACCGGTTCGAAGGCTGAGACGGACACTTTTGTCTTTCCTCAAGCCAAGCGGTCCGAGGAGGCGACAGCAGCAGACCTTTCGAACTTTGAGCAGCACGAGTCGACTGAGCCACTTGCACCAGAAGCTTTGCAAGAAGTTGAAGACTTGCTTGGTGACGACTTTAGCGGTGTTGAGCCAGAGGCGGTGCCGCCAAGAGAAGACTTGTCGGACTTGGAGTCTTTGGCTACGCCTCCTGACCTTGACACTTTTGAGCCGCCACACGTCACTTTGGACCAGCAGACACAGGGCCAACCACGGTCCGCAACAGAAGCAGCTTTACCGCAACCTGCGGCTACAAGGCCTCGACTTGAGGAGGCGTCTGCTTCTTCTCCGACAAAGCGTACGTCGGAGACTTTGCCTGTTGGGACAAGCAAGGTGCAGAGAATGGCCAGCGTAACTTTTGCGAAGACCAAGAAGCGCTTTCGCTTGTGTGACTTTCGTGTCTCTGCTGTGACAACGAAGCAGGACCTTGAAGTACCGGTGTCGGTGAATCAAGATGAGAAAGAACTTTTGTTGATGAAGACATTTGAGAATCCGCACATTTGGTACCAGACCGAGTTCACACGTGAAGAGGAAGCTGCAGGCATGACAAAAGAGATGAAGTCGATGCGTGACTTTGACGTGTTTGACGAAGTCTCAGTTGAGTCGGTCTCTGAGGAGACTTTGCGGTCTGCAATTTCCACGAAGTGGGTTAAAGTGCGCAAACCTGACGGGACTGTGCGCTGCAGGATTGTGGGGAGAGGTTACACTCAACTTGTGGAAGACAAGGATGAAACTTTCGCCTCAACCCCGTCCTTAACCACACTTCGGCTGTTGTTGACTTTGGCTGTTGCGAAGGGATGGCACATCTCGATCGGAGACATTTCGACGGCATTTCTTCATACCCTGGTCCACGGTGACTTTTATGTCATTCCTCCTCTGGAATTCTATCCAGAGGGCCGCACTTTGTGGAAGCTTAAGAAAGCCCTTTACAGGCTTAAGCACAGCCCTAAGCTTTGGCAGCAGCACTTTGCATCTGTCATGGAGAAGAACGGCTTTCGACGCATGAAGTCGGACCCGAACCTTTATGTACATGACAGCAAGCAACTTTACGTTCTGGCGTATGTGGATGACTTGATGTTTTTCGGTTCGCGGGCTGATGTTTCGACTTTGATCCGGGATCTTCAGAAGGACTTGTTGCTTAAGGTGACAGGTACTTTGGATGAAGGTCAGAGTTCGTCGTTTCTAGGCCGCAACCTGAAGCGCACCTCCACTTTCATCTCTGTAGGAATGAGCCCATCCTACATTGATACGATGCTAGAGCTTTACGGTTTGAAACAGTGCCGACAGGCACTTGCGCCAGGAACGGATGCTTTGAGGAAGCAGCTCGACTGTGAACCTTTGGACCCTGAGGATCACAAGCGCTACCGGCGCGCTGTGGGCCAACTTTTGTGGCTTTCCAGCGTGCGCCCTGACATCATGTATGCTGTCAAGGAGTTGGGCCGAGGACTTTCTGCACCAATCACAGAGCATGAAGCAAAGGTGAAGCATCTTTTGAAGTACCTGGCAGGGACAAAGCACTTTGAGCAGAAACTGCAACCAACCCTCTCACTTTCACCGCAGCACAAAGCAATAGACATCAACATTTTTATTGACAGCGATTGGGCAGGATGCCACGACACCCGACGCTCCACTTCAGGAGTTTCCCTCTTTGTGCTCGGGGCGAATATACTTTCGCACAGCAGGACCCAGGCCACCGTAGCCCTCTCGAGCGGAGAGGCAGAACTTTATGCTATAGGCTCTGGTACTGCAGATGCGCTTTTCGTGAGGTCTTTGGTGGAAGAGAGCAAGATCTTTCAGAAGGCTAACCTTTGTGTTTTCACAGACAGTAACGTTGGCAAAAGCATTGCCTCACGTTTCGGCGCAAGCCGTAAAACTAAGCATGTAGAGTTACGATATCTTTACGTGCAAGAGCTCGTTACTTCTGGTATGGTTAGGATCAAGAAAGTTCTTGGGACTTTGAACCCAGCAGATATCCTTACGAAGTACATCGCGAAGGATACTTTGCACCGCCATCTTCCTACTTTCGGGTTTGAGGTTTAGCCACCCCGTCTCGGGTTGGACTTTGCCACTCATCATCTTTCCCAGAAGAACCCAGATGAGAGAGAAGAAGACTTTGAGAGCTGAGAGAATCACGTTCTTGCGGACATGTACTTTTCGTGCTTGTGCGGACATGTACTTTTGCGGACATGTACTTTTGCTTGCTTGTGCAGTCTCGACATGTCTTCGACATTCGCTCGTCGCTGGAATTTTTCATTTTCTGGAACCAACTTTGAAGATGTTCTTTCTGTTTTCCGTTTTCTCCGTTCCGAAAAGGAATAAACTTTTACCGTGAAACCTTGATGGTGGATGACTTTTCCGATGATGGTTTTCTGGTGCAACGGCACCACTTTTAATGTACATATGTAAGCTCACTTGACTTTCCCGTTCAGGGTGTTCGGGTTTTGTCTTGGGTTTTGGTTTTAACTTTGCGCCTCTCTTCGCCACTTTCGCTCTGCGTTGCCCGTTTCACTCCGACTTTGCCTATCAGATGGAACCGGACATGCGCAGATGGAGCGCCGAGACTTTGTTGTCTTGGTCGACTTTTGCGTGCGCTGGGTGCACGACTTTGATCTGCCAAGTGCCTCTGCAACACGATTGCAGCGACTTTGGGGACACCTTCGGCTGTATCCCCTGAGCCAAGAGACTTTGTCTTGGCGTCTTCAGGACGAGCTGGAGACTTTGTCTTTTATCAAGCGACTTTTGTCTGATATTACTTTGGCTAAGGCCAGTGACTTTGTGGATTACAGGTCCCTGCCGATCCTGACTTTGGCGGAGACTTTGGTTCTCCTTGATCTACAAAGGTCGCGGGAGCGACTTTATTATCTGTCACTTTGGGTGACACTCTCGCGCAAAGCGAGACTTTGAGATGGCGCCAAAGACTTTGAGGCGAGAGGACGCCGATGCATGGGCGGAAGCTCTGCGCACCGGCGGCAGGGGCACTTTGCCCATAAGCCTTGGCTGGCGCCCAGGCTCCAACTTTTCCACTTTTGTTGCCAACTTCGATCCTTCTACTTTTGTGGAGATGCTAGATGTGGGTCGGCAGGTTGAGCAACTTTGGGTTCCAGGTTCGCAGTGCCCGCTGTTGCAGCCACCACTTTCACTGGAAAGGGTGATGGCGACACTTTACCCGTTACCCAGGCCGCGAACATCCTGGACTTTATACCCATGTGGAGATTATTTTTATAATGCAGAGCACTTTTACATGGCTCTTTACGGCGATGCTCCCGGGCGTCCCGCCGGTACTTTCGGCGGACCACTTTTGCAACTTTATGTTGTACGTGACTTTGCCGTTGGCTATGTTCCAGCAGAAGATGAGGACTTTGCTGCAAGGAGGCGCGCTGCACTTTGATGGTGCAGATGCCTTTTGAGGTGACAATCGTCACCTCAACTTTTCCTTCAGCCCCAGATCGTCCTTACTTTTATTCTCTTTTGGGCTTTCCATAACGCAACTGGCTGGAAAGACTTTTCAGGTTGGCCAAGTGGCCACTTTTGGTTTTCGCCCAACACGGGCACTTTGGTTGGGCTTGGTTTCTTCGTGCGCCGTCTGGAACAGGCGCTACCTCGACTACTTTCTGGCCCTTCCAGCGGGATCTGTTATCACTTTGGATATGACCCAAGCAGCGGTCCTGCAGACGGCACTTTTGGTCGTCCATCCTCACTGGGATGATGGTTACTTTGTCACCAGCGGTTTGAACAAAACCTTCAGCATGGAGAACAGCTGGCACTGGAGACTTTTCCACATTCCTGTGTTGAAAAGCATGTAGGACATCACTTCCAACGCCAAGGATTGGGACATTGTCCCACGACAACTTTGGCAGAGGATGGCCCGAGCAAGGCTGTGAGCCTACTTTGAAGCACACTTTTCGGCGTTTTTTGACGTTTGGTGCTACCTTGGTTGCTGCACTTTAATGGGCCAACCTTTTTTGGGCCACGCTGCACTTTGATGTGCCGTGCGCAGTCACGACACTTTGCACAACGAGCACAACGAACTTTCTTTCAGAAGCAACTTTTGATGCTGTAGATAGGAGGCATCGTTGCACTTTGCAGTTCTCCAGCGCTGGAAGCGGAAACAACTTTTGCGCATCCGCTCACTTACACATGTACATGCAGTGTACGTGTTATATACTTTACGAGAATAAAGTACTTTACTTTAGTCTCGAGGAGGCGTGTGAAAATAACACGTCCCCACTATCTCCCACACCTACGACTTTGCCAACCTTCGTTGGCTCAAGACCACTTTGCCCTATCGGAAAAGGCGCTGCTGAACTTCAGGGCTACTTTGGTCTCAGTCGTGTGAGCTTGTGCACGGAATTACTTTAGGGTAGTTTGGTGCGCATTCTGGACTAGTGTACTTTCGCAGAGAGAGAGAGCGAGCCATACATACATACATACATACATACATATATATATATATATATATATTACAGATGAACAGGTAGAACAGATATATCGTTTTCTAAATATATAGATACAGAGGTAGAAAACTCTAGAGATATACAGATATGTAGCTATGTAGCTATATACAGACATACAGATATACATAATATGAGGGTATACGGATAAATAGATATCGGGGCATGAAGGGCTTTGCAGGTTGGTGAAGTCCTGGGCGCATTGCCTTTTGTAAGCACCATGGCCCTGGCATACCGAAGCTCGGATGGGTTTGGATGTTCTGCTTGCAAGGAAGTGGTCGCACAATCGACAGTGGCTTTTCGTGGGACAGTTGTGTCTGATGTAGATGGAACCGCGGCCTTTTCCAGGTCTTTCTTGCGGTTTGTTGAGGGTTTTGGACTTTGCCCTTTAACTCCACAAGGGGGAACAGTAGCCGTCAGCAGCCAAGGATGTCGATTCTGGGTTGCAGATTTGCAGATGAGGCTTCTCGGAGAATTCTCCGATACCTTCCAGCAGTCGAATTTGGTATGATTTGGATTAAGTTACGTTTAGGGTTAGGGCCCAGTTCTTCTTCATGAGATTCCCTTCGTTATTCGCTTGACTCGCAACTCCGAGCCAGCTCGAAGCTAGCCTCTGAAATGGGTATTGGAGCCTTGGTCCCCCCTCCGAACGGGATTCCTCAAAGGTGCTTCTAAATGTATCTATAGTTTCCTCAGGATCTTTGTATCTTTGTTCATACTATAATCGCTAAGAAACAGCTAAAGATACGATCAGATTCATGAAATGGCGTGAACGCCAAGTCTGCTCATCAGAACAAAACCGGCAATAAATCCTAAAACCCTCAAGCCCGAAACCCTAAGCCCCTGAAGCCCAAAGCCCTAAACCTCTGAACCTTCGCACTAAGCCCTAAACCTGGCTTGGCCCAGGTTCAGTGGGGCAAACGGAGGAGGCCCTGAAGGTAAAGAAGAGGCCGTGACCCTACCAAGTCCAAAAGGTAGTTTAGGGTCCAAGGTTTAGGGGTTCAGGCTTAGGGGTTTAGGGGTTAGGGTTTAGGGGTTGTGGTTTAGGGGTCAGGGGTTAACGCCTTGATTCAACTTTCGGATTCACGAAATACGGGTTGGGTTGGGATATCACAAGAACCGGTGTTGAGGATGTGGGGTTGAAAGTTTGGGGCTTGAGGTTATTCCCACATGCAATCAACCTAGCGCCAAAACCCTGAACCCTGATGTCACCTAACCTTAGACCCTAGCGCCATGAAGCTTGCCCTCTACTTCATGCACAGGCCAGAAAGGGAATCGGGGGTGTGGTGTGACACCTTCGGGACTTCGGGAAGTCCGTATCAATGGACAGCTGAGGTTTCGAATTTAGGGTTCAGCCTTCAAGGTTTGCCGAGTATGGTGTGGTGAGTTCTGAGGTATTGTAAGGTGAGTGTCTTCAATTTGAGGTTTACCGCAAGGGCTTAGAGAGCACCGCAAGTACCGGCTTCCGGGCTTCGCTGTGGGCAACACCCGAGTGCACTGGTTGGATCACTTTCAGGTCGACGGCGTTAAGCTGACCTATAGTCCACCGTAGCGTATGTCAGGATCCTATGACAGGGACTAGGCAGCCAAAACAGGAAATATACTGGAGACCATAGGTTTTGGTGGCCGACCTCATTTGAGCTGAGGTCATCACGGAGATCTCTTCTTTCACCTTTGACTGACTGTCAGTGGACTCGTGCACGTCCTCGATTCGGTTCCACTGTACATCCCGTTCATGCACTCACCGATCCCGCGGCAGACTCCAAAAGTCTTGCCTTCCCAACCAAGACTCGGGTTCAAGGATACACTGTTCTGCATGTGGAAGAAGCCCCGTCAAGTGCTGTGAACAGATGCGCAGCAAATATCTTCGTTACAAGCACGTGCATGTGCAAGCACGCAGCTCGTGCACGCAGGTATCTGAGAATGAAGGCGAGCATGTATGTATGCGAGAATTGCGCACCACTTGCCGTTACATGTGTATATGTATTGTAAAGCACGTAGATGCATGTGTACATACATATATTTGTGTGTACATACCTATATAGGTATGTACCTACATGCACGCGTGCTGGACAGTAGATGGATTGTGCACAGAAAGGTAGACCCAGTGATGCACGCAAGCTGTGATGGCGAAGGGCCTTTTCTCGCATCGAGCAACGAAGACCATTGCACCATTCAAGATAGCTTGTCGTGCAGGTAGCTCCCGAAAGGATCATCCTGTTCGTTCATTCTGGGATGCCTTTTCGTGACGTAATTCTCGGCGAAAGTCAGAGAGGGAGCCTGATTCCGAAAGCCCCTAATGCGTGATGGGAAGGGGGCATAGGAGGCGATTTGGAAGCTGCTGCGGTTCAGTGGAAGAGTCTCCAACATTCGGAGCGCTGACCAGGTCGGTCTCGTGGCTATAGAAGGGAACAAGCCCCTAAACCGCAACTCCAAGCCCAAATCCCCGAACAGTCTAGCGCTATATAGAAGGCTCTTCCGCATCACTGTACAGATGGTAGACTGACAGGGTATGGAACAGTTTCACAAACTGCCTGGAGCTCGGAAGCTGTGTAGGAGCGGCCCAAGCTCCGTGGCAGTCGGATTTCAACAAGGTTAATATAGGGGCCTTAATGGTTACCAAGATTATTCCTTAGGGCTCCTTATTACAACTATACTATAATGGGCCGCCCCATCGAATTATTAAGGCCCCTACATTATGAGTCCTCCTCAGAGCAGTCCGCCAGACGTCCTGCCGGACATGGTCTGCGCTGACGAACCCTAACCCTAAAGCGTAACCCGAAGCCTTACAGTGTGATATAGGGGCCTTAATACTTACCTATACTATTATGGTGGTTCCTTAGTATAATTAGAGTATAATGGGCCCCAAAACCCTAGTTGTACAGTGTAACCCCTGATATCCTGGAGGTAGCAGGTCTAGGGTGGCAAAATGGCCCTGACGGCTTAGACTGGGAGAGGATCGGGGGGTTGCAAACAAACAAACAAACCAGCAGCAAGAAATCCTCAGTTTAGATTTTCATACAATGCTGTCCTGCTAACTGGATTGTACGGCTCTAGTCTGAAGAAACTTGGGGCCAGCTGTGCCTCAGAAAGTTTGGCGTTAAGGAGTAGAGCCCGCGATTGGAGGATCAGAGGTCAGAGGACGTACAATAAGTAACCTCGATTAGAGCACTCTTCGAAAATCGACCCACTACGGCCCTTGCTCCTGGAAGTAGGAACGCCGAACCCTAAAGCCGCAACCCTATAGGCATGGAGCCCAAAGCCGACCGGATCTTCGTTTAGCGTCGCTTTGGTTTCCGGATGCCCTTAACACTCAGGCAAAGAGACAATCAGATCACCCAAAAAACTGAGACGGAAGATACCGTTCCGGGTATATGCAGGAGAGTAAAAACGGCAATCACCTCCAGTTGACGATTTGGTTGTTCCCTAAACCCTAAACCCTAAACCCTACTAGTAGCAAAGTTGAGGAGCTGGGCTTCAGGGCCTCACGCGACATCAACCTCTCCGCGCAGCGACCTGCACCCTCCTTCGTATTCCTAGTAGTAGAGTAGGTAACGTTTTACTTTTTGGGGGTAGTATAGTCCCTATATGTAATCCCTATATACCCAAAAAGGTTAACCTTTAATTCCTCATGACACCCGAGAAGTAGGTATTAGTTTGAAAGCTTTGCTGGCGTCGGCGGTTTGGTCTCGGACCACGATGTGGGTTTTGAGCTTCGGCTGTGACCTGATTAATCCGCGGAGCTCCAAAGTTATGCACACGCCTTGAACTTTGGAACCCTCGTGCCCTAGAACCCGAAGCCGTCGAGAGTGCTCACCGTCGCTAAGACCTCGTCCTGCACTAAGTGTCCGGTGTGCTGCTTCTGAGGCTTGGTCATGCGTGTGTCACCTGGCTTGCTTTGCAAAGGGGGTACTTTTCACACATACATGTGCATTTATTCGTAGGTTCACGCGCAAGTGTATCCGTACATGTATTATGTGTATGTGGATATATATATATATATAGACATATATATATATACATATATATATACATATATATATATATAGACATATACTTACTTATGTAATCCCTACATCCGTTTACTGACCCCACCCCAATTACAACGATTTTTTGGGCCTTTATTTTTTTTAACATTAGGGGGACTTCGTGTGGCTTTAGGCTTGATTTTCCGAAGTTCGAGTCTAGAAACTTCTACTCTCAGGCAAGGGCGCGCGTCTAACGAAAAGCATGGGGTATCGCACTCCCAGGCTAGGGGGATTCGAGACTGCAATCTACTCCAGTCAATGAGCCCCTAGTGCCTATCCTGGGAGAAGCGGGATTGAGAGGACAGCAATGTACTCCAGTCAATGAGCCAGACGGCAAAGCCCTGAGATTCCCACATCCGGACTCCCTCGGATGCCGCGTTCCTATTCCAAATGCCAACTTTCAAAATTCTCCATGCGAACCTAGCCTGGTAGTTCCAAATCCGTGATGGCCATCCTACCTGGTCCCTAATTTCTTTAAATCTAATTACTCATTTGAACTTTTTGCTCGAAACTGGAAAATTCTCCGGCCGGTGAATTCTTCGTATTTCGGGGGATTTATTACACGGATGGGGGGATTATCTGTATATGTATATCATGTATATGTAGCTGTAGAAGCAGATGTAGATGGAGATGTATGTATACACATGTAGTTACATGTATATGTATATAGATAGATACAGATAGACGTATGTACGTTTGCACACATGCAGCCACGTGTGAATATTTCTGCCTATACAGGTATGTAGGTACGTATATATGTACGTATGTACGTACCTATGTATGTATGTATGTATGTACCCGTAAAGGTTCACTCTCTGAGCTCAGGAAGTCAGCGACTAGGAAAGGAAGGCCAGCAGAAGGCTAGAGCCAGGATGATAGGGGGGTAAACCATAAAGGGGATCTGCAAGCAGTCGGAAAAGAGCCCTTAGGGGCTATGCAGTGAGAGCCAGGATCAGACACACAGTCTTCAAGAAGAGGCATGGGCCAAAGTAGATTCGAAGCAACCTTATGGAGAACAAGCGGTGTTGAGCACAACTTGCCTTTGTCGTAAGGGTGCCAAGGGGTAGTACAATGGATAGGTTTTGGGGCTTGGGCTTCTGGGTTAGAGTTTCAGGGTTTAGGGTGTAGCGTCAGGGGTTTGTGGTTGTGAGTTTGAAGCTACGTTTGCTAGGTTTGGATACGTGTACTTGGTAGTTCTTAGCAGGTGCATCTGTCACACGAGGGAAAGACAGGACACCTGCTGTTCTCCTTCCAGGGTGCTCCAGCCGTGCTGCATGGATCCAGATTCTCGCACAAGGCAATAGATATTGAGGCAAGGCACGACCGACTGAAATTGCGGATTTGGTGAATAGGTTAGGTCACAATTTGGACTGCCAGTGTCCCTATTGGTGTATCCCCATAGGTTGAGCCACCTTACGAACAAGCCCCCTGATCCTCCCAGCACATCATGAGTTCAACCGAAGCCGCTAAATGTCTGGAACGGCAGCACTGTTTGAATTAAGATCACATGTTGGAAGCCTTTTCCATGCAAACCGCATGGGCAAACTCCTGGCGCGTGTGACTGGGCTTTGAAGTGCTTACGATGGTAGTGACTCTACGCTATCCGTGGGTTCGAGACAGCTGGCTATCAACGAGCCATTAGCAGCAGTTCGTACGGCTGATCTGAAGCCTCCGAGCCCCGCAAAGGCAACACCCAGAAATAGGACAAGGCTCCAACTTCAGGTCTGTGAATACTGCGTTAGTGTGCACACATGTTGAAACATAAACAAGCGTGCGCTTTCTTGGGTTGTCGGTTAAGGTCGTTAAAGTCGTATTCCCATTCTGTGTTCACACACACACATATATATATATATAGATATAGCTGTAGGTGTAAGCATAGAGAGAGAGAGAGAGAGAGAGAGAGAGAGAGATATGGCGCCCCTGGTTTGCATGTCTATTCACTATTCGTTGCGCAAAATCCTGAATTCTGAGTTGTTCTTGTCGCACCTACGGCGCGCAGTCTACATGTGTTTAGACAAGGATGCATGCATGTATGCATGTATGTAGGTATGCATATATGGACGGACCTGCCTACCTACATATAACTGTTGTAAAGAAACGGTGCACCTGTATGTCTTTGTCTGCATCCTAATGTGCACATGTATCTGTTTGAGAAAAAGATAGTGGGTGGCATCGCACGCTATGCACGGCTCTGCTCGTTGTATGGTGATCCGTCTTTGATGTTGCTTCAAGGGCTACATAGCACGCAGCTCATAGTTTTGTATGATGTTGTGTCATGGTTTTCCTTGCAATGCAATAGCCGATACTCGCAACAACACCTGTGTACTTACCGTGCATTGCTCATCCTCCACTCACAGATCTTATGCATCTTGCCTAGCTACCGTGGCACAGTGATGCTTACACTGCTGAATGGTACACTGGATCATCGATTCTGCGTGCAGCTTCTGTTGCTTTCAGTACAGCATATCAAGCGAAATGCCATAGGCTTCCAAATTTGGTCAGCTCTGTTGCTTTCAGTACCAGTACAGCACATAAGTTGAACTGCGATAGGCTTCCAAATTTGGTTGTATTGTGCACTTAGATGCGTGCATGTGCTAGCTTCAAGCAGTTACCAGTGTCAAGCTAATATAGTAATTAGCCTAAGTAGTAGTAGG